TCATATACCTGTAAATTGTCTGTATTATCAGGGGCATACTGAGGCAGTCTTCTGGGTCTTTCGGATTACGGTCAGAGTTTCCATTGACGATAACTTATATATATATATTTTTGTCGAAGATGTTAAAAATGGAGGATGGATGCAAAGATAATTTGGAAAGTATAAATCTGGATCAGCCCCTGTATTATGGATATTATTTGATTCCTGTACCTTATTTATTTGCTTGTACAGGAAGCAGTATTATAGGATTTTGATGAAGATTTCAACTGTATAATAAGGATTAAATGTCAGACAGCAGTCCAAGTTGCAATGGTTGGATTTAATTACTTTATTTCAATTAAAGATTCTATGCCGTATCTCTTTGTGATAGCAGCAACCTCTGTCTGCCTGGAGTAGCAACAGAAGACGGTGACCTTTTCTTTTCCCCATGTTCATTGGCCATAACAGACCTGAAAAGAGTAAAAATAATAACTGTACTTTTTTTCATTGTGTGATCATTCGAACATTTTACGAGACAATTTTATACAAGTATCACAGTCTATATTTCAGATAGCTTATAATGTCCCCTGTTTGGACATGCCACTTTACCTGACCAGGTAAATTGTACATGTATAAAAACAGTCAGACAATTAAATCACAGGTATAGTGTTTTAGACAATAGCAAGGATCGCCCATAGAAATTGCAACCATGATAAGGTGTGCATCTAATCAGTTCTAATTACAGAGGAAGATATCATCAACAATTGTAACAAAAGAATACTTGTACCCAATTACGAAGTGGTAAATATACCAAGGTCTTTATGATATAAATGTATACAAAGGTGCTGATTTAATAGAACTGGCACAACCCTGGTCATATAAAACTTTCTACAATTAAGAAACATATTCAGAACTGGCTAGAAACAAAATAAAAAATCCAAATTGCTATTTCCCACTGACATTTCCTTTAAAAATATAAAAACAAATTCAAAATTGTCTAAACACACACGCCTGTTATATTCCATTCCCACAACGAGGTTGGTGAGCTAAAAAGTGCCACGATAGAGGAGTAAAAAACACAGAGACCACCTGTTACACTGAAGTTCATTTGTGCACCAGTGCACCCTTTCAAACCAGTCTTTCACGAAAAACAAGCTGTCAATTCATCATTTCTCATTAAAAATAGTTAAAACGTGCAAATTCAAATGGGCATAAATTTGGGTCTAAACCACGTAACCAATGTCAGAATTTACAAAGTTCAATATAAGTCTGGTTCGTTTGTTAAAACAGCTGCGTGACAATCTGAACAACATAGCCCAATGCACGCTACATATATTTGGGTGTAAAATAAAAGCCAACATTAACATGTTTTCATCGTACAAAGATCCGTAAACTGCAAAACCCCGAAAAGTGTGTTAATAGCGTGTGCTGACATCAAACTCGGATATCACTGAACGCGTCTCATGTCACGGCTATTTATTGCCATTTTAAAAAGATTTTGACAAACTAATCACCCAAATGTATTGCAGAAGTAATAGGTTTTCTGTATGTATACTCGATACATCGTGTCACTCTCACAATTTTTCCAAAAACTTGCAAATTTGCCAGAATCCTACAACTTTATTTTCAAGATGGCGGATACGGCCACATCCACTGTGTTTTCATCTGCGTATTTATACATGTTTACAGCCTATGAAGCATAACTTTTTCCTACCTGCAGTCCCTCATTTCTTTAGTAATATATTCATTCATATTATGTAGACATATTGGACGAAAATAAATTTTTAAAGAATATTTTTAATAGTACCCCCCTTCTTGCCGATAAAAAACCGAGACCAACTTCAAATTAGCGTTTTAACAGCTTTCTGCATGATAAAAAAGGGAACTTTACCTTACTCGTGAGCTGGTCATCCTTTTCATTCGTCAAACGCAACGACGTAGATAACACTACACCGACTATGTACAAATTCTGGAAAAAAGATTTACACATACGTGCACAAGAAAAATCCGCGTCTGTGCCCATCTCATATGTTATGGTTTGGTATTCTGTGATTGGCTGTTGCTCGTCTCTGTTAAATCACGTGGCCTTAACACAGATAGGGTTCTTTTGTTATCAGCTTTCTATGATAAGGACCAATAATATTGCTTGAAATCGTCACACCTCCCTCCCGTTTCCATTCCCTCCGATATAATTCCCTGGTAAGATTAAGCTCTCCTGTGAGTTTTATGTCAATAAGCCTATTAGTTTTCCTTGAAATATGTTTACAGTGTTGCATACATGTTGAAAATTGAGAAAACAGCATAACTTCTACAATTACGGCCCGATCATGCTGATTTTTCGAACTTGATCTGCGTTTTAGTAAGATCGATTGCCCCTGTGAGTTTCATGACAACAGGCCTATCGGTTTTCCTTGAAATGTGCTTACAGTGTTGCATATATGCTGAAAAGTGAAAAAACAGCATAACTTCTACAATAATGGCCCGATCATGCTAATTTTTGAACTTGACCTGCGTTTTATGAATAATCATCAGCTCTGTAAATATACAGCCAAAAAGTAAAACTGCCTTTAACTTATCATGTTTACAATGAAAGTGCACTGCGCCGGCGATGGGGACAGCGCCGGCGACGACAGACGCAGGTGATGGCAATATGTGCAGACACATCTGTACATATTTACTGTACTGTTTGAGAACAGTAAGTGACATGATTTTTCTTAAATGGTCATCATGCCCAAAATAGGTTATTTCAAATTTTGATGCAATATTAAATAATGTTTAACAGCATAATGACCATCAATTTTTAATAATAAACATGTAGGAAGCAGTGTGACCATATATGCTCGGAATTTTGTCGGAGAGAGAGATTTCTCGAGTTTGTTCACTGCCCTGTGAAGCCATATTTTGTGGCATGAGATGCAGTATCCGTTACTTCGTGACCTGACCTGCCAAAAGCACGTCTGGGCGCTCTTTTCATCTTTCGATTCTTCCACATTAATTAAAATACGGAGTATCCAAAAAAAGAAAAAGTCAGAAATAGAAAAGAATTTAGTTAAGGAAATTGAACTTTTAGAAAATATAACTTGTGAGGCCAATATTCAGACTTTAAGACAAAAGCAAAGAGAATTGGAGGAAGTACGAAAAGAAAAATTACAAGGCGCATTTATTAGATCCAGAGCTAAGTGGGTGGAGGAAGGCGAAAAACCAACTAAATATTTTTGTGGTCTAGAATCGAGAAATTTTACCAATAAACTGATTCCAAGAATTCAGCTAGACGATGGCACAATTATTGTTAACCAGGGGAAGATACTAGAAAATACAAAAATTTTATGAAAATCTGTATGCATGCCGGGAGCATAACATAGAAGATGTTAATCTAGATAATGAGGTAACCCTTAACCATGTTTATAAACTCAGTAATCTGGAAGCTGCAGAATTGGAAGGGCCCATTACGGAGGCAGAAGCAGCACAAACATTATCTAAAATGAAATCGAACAAATCCCCGGGAACTGACGGCTTTTCAGTTGAATTTTATAAGGTATTTTGGAGACAACTAAGCTCTTTTGTTGTCAGGTCAATTAATTTTGTTTACGAAACTGGCCAGTTATCGGTGACGCAAAAACAAGGTATAATCACTTGCCTCCCAAAGGGAGATAAACCACGCCACTTTCTTAAAAACTGGCGCCCCATATCACTTCTCAATACTATGTACAAGATCGCCTCNAGTCGGTAGTCTGGCTCGGGCAATAAAATCTTACTATCTCCACATCTGGTTTCTATCAAGCGCGTCCAGAGCTTCAGAGCTTAGGACAAACATATTGCTCCTCGGGCCAGGAAATCTGGAGAGGGGGAGTAGAGGAACATGTCTTCTCAATATGGAAATCTATATATTTTTGGTAATTTCCTTTGTAACATTTACGAACACTGTAAAATACCCTTTCTCAAATTAATATAATGTTCACACATTTCTGTTAATATCCTGAATTGAAATACTAATTTTAAATGTCAGATTTATGACGAGGGAAAGAGAGGTCAAGTCATTCTGTAAATGTCCCGAACTATGGGAGAGTGTTATAAACTAAACACATCTTGGCAATAACCCGTAGCCAGTTAGACTGCTGAGTGGTTTACTTATTATGATCAACATTATTGTTTATATTTTTATTAATATCAAACAATTTTACTGTTTGCAGGTATACCTGTTTGGAACCTGTACTCTGCGCCATATAATAGCTATGGTGCAAAGTAGTGATATTGTAAAATCCTGCAATAAAATCTTCTTTAAATATTAAATATTAAGACATATAGGAAGCAGGGTTACCATATATGCTCGGAATTTTGTCGGGGAGGGAAATTTCTCGAGTTTGTTCACTGTCCTGTGAAGCCATATTTTGTAGCCTGAGATGCCGTATCCGTTACTTCGTGACCTGACCTGCCAAAAGCACGTCTGGGCGCTCTTTTCATCTTTCAATTCTTCCACATTAATCAAGATACGGAGTATCAATTACAAGTGCCCGGGGAGGGGGGAGGAAGAGGGAGCATGAAGGAAATAAATAACTATAAGTAGTATCCTTGCGATTGCTCTGCAAGGTTACTCTGCAATTTATATCTTTCCATTTATGCTGTGAAATAATAGCCAGGTAGTCCGTTGATCTCGCGAATCAACCAAATGACCGTTAGTTGAGTTGCTTAACTGCAAGTAATTAATCCCCTCCCCTCCCCCCGAAAGTCATACTGGCAGGTTTCCAAATGAAGACTATACCGCAGAAAAAGTTTGGGGCCCAAAACAGAGTCAGCCAAAGACACGTTTGGGGAACACGTTAGAACACGTCATGATGGACATTAACAGGTGTAGGACCAGAGCAGAGCCTCTGGTAAACAGTTTAGAACCAAGGGACCGAACTTGATTTGACGACCAGAAAAGAGGCTTTACACACGTCTCTGCAGTCATTGCGTGCTATTTTGTTTCAAGTACACTGTATGTTTTTATGTCACATCTTCATTTATTTTAATGAGTTAAGGAAATGAAGGAAGAAATAGAACACGAAAGTCAGAGAGACGATCACAAGAACTACGATTCTTTCATCTTGTTTTTACTGAGCCATGGAACCGAGGGTGTTGTTTATGGAACGGATGGCTATCCATTGCCCTACGACACAATTAAAGATATACTGAATAACAGGAATTGTCCCGGCCTGAGGGGCAAACCGAAAATGATATTTATTCAGGCTGACCAGGGAAGTAAGTTATGGAATGTACTACACATGTTTGAATACCTCTGATGTAAATAGCATGCAGCTTTTATAACTAAATTATTAAACGCATGTATTAATATATTAAACTGTATTAACAGTTTGCCTCCTTTAGTTGATATTCAGCCACTCGAAACGAATGGCGTTTAGTACTATGTATTTGTTTAAGTCGTTAATACTGATAACAGTTCTACCCAGTGTGTAAACATGTAATCCTCATAAGAGTAAATAGTGTATTTAATTTCTTTCCATATTAACCCAGATATACTGGACTTCGGGGCACTCCCGGGCGGCCAAACAGTTCAACAACCGCAGCAAGCACCACCTGCAGCAAACCTTGACGATAAGGTACCCGATGCGCCACTCGAGATTCCAAAGCTACCCATTACACCGACCATGTCCGATATTCTCGAGGTCCATGCGACTTCACCAGGTACTTCGACCGTGTCGCTTTGTGTGCCATTTTAACATTAGCTTAGGCCTTACAAATGTGTTTCTCGTCAGAAAAAATCAAAATGATAAGGTGCCCGTTGTGATACTGGGTTTTTGGCATTTTGCCTCAGGTAGAAGATGGTGTGTTTTTTGTGGTATTTTGACATATTGATGAGTACTGTATTGTACATGTATATTTTAAAAATGCGCACTGTATTACAGCAACAGTAAATAATGAAAATTGTCCATGCATTTTCTATATCATAGACTGGGTTCGCACAGATTTAGATCAATCCATCTGGATCGTCCTTACTCCCTTGGGGTTCTCGCTAAATTGCTGTCAGCTTCCGAGAGCCGAGCGCGCACAAAAGTTTTAATTTAAAATTACCCTCTCACAGCTTTTAGTAGGCGGGACAGACATTTAAGCTGTGACAACAATCTAGTTCGACTCCACAGGGGGGATAGGTCAATTTAAATATCTGTGGGAATGGTTTCATAAATTCTCCCTTCAAGGAACCGACGAAAAAGTGCTTATTTTCAAATTTGAACAGGAAAACTTTTTTTTAGCTCAAGCTCTCAAATTTTGCACACATGTGCAATATCAAATAAAATGTATGTGCCAAATTTAATTGAAACTATTACGTATATTTTGGGGTAGAACTCTTGAAATTTGGAGCATGCCATAACGCTTAAGCGTTCATGATCAAGAAAACCGAAAGTTTCGAAAACCGAAAGTGTGTCGTGACGTCAGCTAATTGTATCTGGGAAGCTGTCAGATGATTTTCCGATAAAAAGACTGTATAGCTTATGTAAATGTTGACAACATAACCATGCATATTATAGGAGATTTAATTAACAAAATTTAAACTATGTAATTCAGCAGATTTAATCGCGATCGTGTATTTGTGACTTTGAATTCTCAGTGTGTACAAAGTGTACATCAAAGGCATTCATGAATGTCAACACGTTTGATTCTTTGTATCAGACGCTTCATGTTACTTGATAGCGAGAGTATTTAGGTTAAGTATGCCGGGGAAAACAGAAGAAGAAAAATCAAGTACTTCTGGTTTTTTGTCGATTGAAGGCTTCAATTTGTTGAAGGGCGAGTCTATATAGCCTGGTGTCCAAAGAATATATCAACAACGTGCCGCAGGCATATATGCAAAATACATCGCCAAGGACCCGCAAGCCATGGCAAAATGTCTTATGTTTACTTTGTTATTTTGATAAAAAATAAAATCGCGGTTGACATGGATTTCACTGGTCTCCAACTTTCTATGCCCGACCAAAAAAAAAAAAAAAAAAATTAAAATTAGTGGCGATTCAGTGTTCCAGTGATGCCTGCAACGGTTAGAAACATGGCCTATTTTATTGGCCTTTTGAAGATCATTGCAGGTCGGTTCGCTGTAACACTATCAGCAAATATAGTTCACTAATATTTCCTCGATCTGCGCGATTTATGGAATTTGCTTTTCCGCACTCTCAGTGAGACTAATTACTGTGATATTAACAAAATAAAAATAAACAATACCGTTGCTTCTATGAATAATACCTTAAGGCTTCAATCCTTTCTGTTTCAGGGTACGTATCTTGGCGACACACGGGAAAGGGAACATGCTTTGTTCAATCCATTGTCGATATATTTCATCGTGAAGCACACAAATATGACGTTTTACAAATGTTAGTGAATGTAAGTAATGAAATAACATGAATTACATTCTTTTGACTTGAAAGTGCGTTAAATTCATCAAAAAACCAAACAAATATAAAACATAGCTGCCAGAAGAGGTCTTGCCATAAGAGGTGACTTATGTAAATATAGTCCAACATGCACAGACTTTTTTAGAACTAGCAAAATGTCCTTCTCTATGTTTTGACAATATCCGAACTGTGGATGTCATACTTTATTTCACCAGGTCAGTGCCGCGATCTCTCAAAAGCAAACTTTAATGGGCAGAAAACAGGCGCTAGAGATAGTTACCAGCTTACGGAAGAAAGTTTTCTTCAACATAACTCCAGGTAAGCAAAAAGAATCACATCTTTCCGAGGTGTATTCAGTCGAAAAATAAAGACTTGAGATCAAAAGTAAGCAAAAACAATGAACCTGGAACGTGTTAAGGTGCAAACAATATTGCCAGTCCTAGTTATCAAATGACTCAAATCTCCCATCCAGTTGCAGACCCCACCTACAAAATTGTGTCCCAACTCCAATAAATCATTCCCAATTAAAGCTGGAACTTCAAGGTTATGCTCATCATAAGGTTATTTATCTCATCAGTGTTATTTCTATGTGTTTCCACCCAAATTGCTCCACAACTCCTAGCATTCATGCACCTCACAGTCATTTATCACTAACTCCTCCTGAAGCGATTTTGGACTACTTTGAATCAGGTTATCCTTTAGGCGGATTGCTGGCACAATTTAGTCTCTCCCTTACAGATTTCAAATATTCACTGTTACATGTTGTCCCTAACTCTGATCTTCACAAAACTAGTGTGATTCACGATCTTTTTTATCCCCACCTGGTCTCGGTTGATTCTTACATTCCATGAGAGTTCTCTGTGGTACAGTACGACTCCATTGATGCTGTTATCGCACAAGTCCAACATTTTGTTGGTGGTGCTCTTTAGTTATATCTTATTTTCAAGATGTTTTCCGCATTTTACCGATTATCATCTGCGTCCATAGTTTCTCCTGGCATGATCTGCTTAATTATGAGAAATGATTTCGTGGTTGTCAAGTTGAATTTTCTTGTTTTATGCCAACGGATAAACATTCCCATTAACGCAGTTAAAACCTTTAAACTGACCACTTGTTTACCGATTTATCTCATCGAAGTATATTCGATACAAAGGAAACCTTGGACAGGCTTTTGCAGGTATCAGTCAAAACGTGTCTGATTTGGTTCAGTTTTGCTGTGGGACATGGTTGATTTGGCGAGTAATAACCTACCCACATATTGTCCATGTGGTTCAAGTATGGCGATATTGATGAACAAGGTAGCTGTCATTTCCTTGGTTCTGTAAGCTATCTGCTATTAAAAGTGCTCTTTGTGAACCGGTGTGAAAGGAATACATGTCCCCTAGGAACGGAGGTCCTACGTTATGCGCCGTTTATACATGTATTTTTAGGCCTACTATTACTCCTAACATTCTTCTGAGCGTAATTTTAGCCTTTCGCATTAATCCCGAATTTCCCATTTTAATTCTTTGTATTTTTAGGTGAAAGTAGAAAGCATATGATCTTGTGCGTCCACTTGTCCAATACAATTCGGCCACGACCTTGTATAGTCTACATCGAGTTTATTAAAGAATTCTTAAATAGCTCAACGTTAAAAAATTGATGATATTTAAATCAAACATTTAAACAATTTAAAATCTCAAAATCAAAATAATCTAAATTGTATAACAACATAAAGTGTGTTTATTTGTTTGAAATGGAGAAGAAATTGGGATAACGTTTGCATAAGGAGAGCAACATTGTTGCTGGGGATTCGAAGTCACTTACGTTTCTCTACGCTGTTCGGTTATTGTATCCAGCCGTCTTATACACCTATTTCACACAGATCGCGAATCCCACGAATCGCCGGGAATTGACAAATTTAAGGATTCGTGAGGATTCATGTGATTTTATAAAAACTTCTGGTCCAATTCGACACGCTCTACGATTCAGTTACAATACAGGTGCGATAGTGTTACAAATATGCGTGGGATTCGGCTGGAATCGCATGAATAGATTATCATTTTTGGAATCGGGAGTTCGCGGCCAACATTTTAAACAACATTTTAAACATTTTAAACGAAATTTCTGCCACGAATTCCTGATTGATCAAGAATTGCAAGAAATGACTACAATTAGGACCTCCGTTCCTTGAAAACATGCATTCCTATCACACCGGTCTCACAGATGCAGAATTCCAGACCATGTTTACTGAACTGAAATCTCTGTTGTTGTCCCTGTCCCCACTCTACACCAGTGACTGGTACGACAATTAAGTCACATATTGTTCCACTACATGTACATGCAGCAGGTAAGATGTATAGTATCACACAGATGGTGGTTATTTATATATGAACAAGTAGACATTATGTTAATGGAATTTTAAAAAAGAGAACATAATATTGATGGTAATAATTAAGTGCCCAGAAAATGTGTTCACCTTCGTTTGTTTGTCACCCATATTTAGTTATGGGTATGGGTGGATTTTGTTAAAAATGTCATGATACGTCAGAGATGGGCTTCCTACAGTTTTTTTTTTATTATGGTGATTTGCAATACCATTTGGACCTCCCTAAAATTAAAAGATTCTTCCCCATTGTGAAATAGGGTAAACTACCTCGGCCTGCTGTGAAATGTTTGTGCTTTCAGGTAATATTCTTGGCAGAGGTGTGCCCTCTCTGGTCTATTTTACCGCCAATATTATACAAGAAACAAAGACGTACCCTAATGAGCAAAAATGTTCATTAGCTTGATAGTTGGATCATGCATGAGAATTACCAAACACAAGCCGAAATATTACCATACCGTTAGCTTATGGCCAACCTGGTGGAAGGCGCTCATCAGACTTATATGAGTAGATGTTGACACTCACTGACCGCTGGGTGGTACAGTGGCTAGGACCCTCTTATAAATATCAGGTAGATCACCCCCAACCCCCCCCCCCCCCACCCCATCTAGGTTAATATCATGGCTTGTGTTTGGTAATTCTCATGTATAATGGCATGAATTTATATAGTATTGAAAAATATTGATTGAAAATTCATTGAAAATAAGATAATGAATAACAATTAAAAACGTCCATGTGTATGCATTTGCATGTGTGCGTACATGTGTAAATACATGTGTGTGTGTCTGCTATAATCTCTAGATAAAGCTGCAGACACGGGCTACATCCAACACTTAGGTAACATTCTATTTTTTATTTCTTATTTCAGGAGATCCTAGTGATCTCCGTTCCAGTAACCTTCAAAGCAGTATTCCAGAGTTGAAGGGGAGCGAAGGTAAGAGGAGGGTTGTAAATAGTAACTGTAGTATTGTAGTATGTGATAGAAGACTGAAGGGTTGGAGAATGTCAATTATAATATTGACAAAATGTCCCCTTTGTCTTTTGTATTGTGATTAGGTGCTATGAGCCACTGCCGTAAGTTTGAAGATGATAAGTCACATGTTCATCCATTTATTGCATTAACATATTTTTGTTTGCGTTGTTGCATTAACAGATCTCGGCTGGGCAATAGCGACGAACACAGTCGATGGGTATCTGTTCAGACACATTAATAATTGCAAAATAGTAAAAATAATAAGATAACAAAACAAAAAGAAACATTTTAATTTAACATTTTAACATATTAAAAAATGTTACAATCTCCAGTACACAAATTGTGCTGTGCTGTACTGATTCCAGCTAGTTAGGAATGTTTCACATTTTATTTTCACCAATGAACATAATATACCCCTGAAGCACAACTCCTAAACTGTAAAAAAATTATGACACCCCCTCCATTAATTGCTATGCTTGACACGGTCTAAAATGCAACAAACAGTCTTTTCTAGTCTTAATTTACGGTTCTTGAATGAAGAGGTTTTCAGTTTTGGAACTAATGGCCCCAAGAATATATCCCACACATTAAAAGTTAAGGTCTGTTTACTTTCTGAAAATCGGCACAAATAAATATCTTTATATATAAAGATATTTTTTGTATAGATATATATTTTGTTGTTATCTCTGTCCCCACTATACATCAGTGACGACTACGACAAGTTACTGATTGTTCCACTTTATGCAGCAGGTAGGATGTATACAAAGATAGCGTTAACTTATGAAATTGTACACATTTTGTTAGTTGAATTCAAAAGAAAGCATAATATTGATAGTAGAAATTAAGTTCACAAGTAATTAATTCACCTCTGTTTGTCACCAGCGTAACACATGAAGGATATTGTCACTTTTCCCCAAAAACTCTTTATTTGCTGCCTTACATACACTTTCTTGGGAAATATATAAAACATCAATGTTCAGCGACTAAATAAATTAACATGTACACATACAGGTGCATCATCTAACCGTTAGACAGGTGACGTTTTTTTTTTGCGACCTTGTGGTTAAACTGAAATATCTGTTTCTCAAATTTCTCTTTTACCTGAGCACCCACGGTCACCGTTTTCACGCTGATTTAATGACACCAATTTTTTACTCCAAACCCTGCCACCAATTTTTCGTAAAAGTCTTAGTCCAGATTTACCGTTGGTAAAGCACAATAATGCATTTGTTTAAAAATTGCTCTTCATCGCAAATTAAGATGCATGAAGAAAATGGTTTGTTGGGTGTTACTCTCGTTTCCTTTTTTTAATTATATATATATATATATATATATATATATATATATATATATATATATATATATATATATATATATATATATATATATTGCTTTATATGTGGACGTCCACGATACTGGGTAAAAGCAGTAGATGATCATCTTTTGTGCAACGATATTAATTGCCAAAGATTTGGAAATCTACCTAATCTACCTAATAACAGAATAGTGAAACTCACCCATGATGCGGAACTGACAATAGGGGGAAAAAGGTTGGCCAGGCTCGATTAATTGTCTCATTACAATTAACAAACAAGTTTTTGTATATTCTAAGACCCCAGGCTCATTCCCAGAGATAAGATAGATCCAACTCGATCGACCTAACTTCCTGGGGGTTCACGCTAAATAGCTGTCAGCCGAGCGGGTACGAAAGTTGATTACCCCCTTACAGCTTGTAGTAGGCGGGACGGACATTTAAGCCGGATTATCTGACAGTAATTTGGTAAGACTCCCCACGGGGATAGATCGATTCAATATTTATGGGAATGCGCCCTAAGTGGAAAGCGTGCGCATGAGAGACGATTTGACGTCGTCGCTGTTTAACCGCCGATTCAGGATCGCAGTATGCTTTCCAAACTCTAAATCTGTGAAACTAAGTGTACTGTACTCTAAGTGTATTTTTTGTATGTGTTTAACGTTACATTTTCCCAAATAAATGAATATATAACAAAATTCTATGCGTAATCTAAACGACAAGCGTGCTCACAAGATCGGCGCCGTGATGCCCATGTCCCAAAGGTGTTACCCAGTATTGTGGACTTGCAGAGTTCGGAAAGCATAGTTTGCTTTATATTCATATATTTTAGAAAATTAACCACTAAACTCCGAAGTCATTCACAGATACCTGCAATATTTCTTTGTACAGACTGTAACACACAGCCAGCTGAAGCTATCAGCTAGGTTTATTTTTTAGGTTAAAACCTGTACCAGGGTGGCAGATTATATAGGGAAAAGAAAAGGCCAGAGATAGTAAAATGACCGTCTATTTATCTCAAGACAAATCTGTCAATATCTGTCAGATCAATCAATCTGTGGCCCTGGTAGAGGGTATAGGCCAGTCAATAAACAAGTTGGAAAATTGATGACAAAGGTTTCTCAACTGATTCTGGTCTGTTGAAGGCCCAATATATCCCAAAAAGTTTCCCCCATGAATCCCCCCATGGCTAAATTTCATTTTCCACAAAAATCCAAAATGGCCGCTATTGAATGGGGTGGGTGGACTTGAAATCCATAACTTGGGAACCCAATGTCACAGAAACATGTTTTAAGTATCAACTCCTACTAAGTGAGGGATCCCCTATCTTTTGCAACTAGTCTCCATGTCACTGGAGGACAAGTTCATGACCTTATTACAAGGTCAAGGGATATTAATGGAGAAAAAAACCAATAATGTTGATATGACAGTTTCCCAATACAAGGTCAGATAACACTAGGATGAATACTTTGCTGTAAATTTGATGGAATGAAGTCAATAAAGTTGACAGTTCTCGGTACCCTGTTATAGATAGGTTGAGGTGACTGTGACTTATTGAGGTGACTGTGATATATATATATATATATATATATATATATATATATATATATATATATATATATAAACCTTGGAAATTTTAACTTAAAGGCCATACATAAATACCCTACATACATTTAGCCATAAAGCATGCCCTACGGCTAAACACATCCAGACTAAAAGGGTGTACCATGCTTAGGTGCAAAACATGCTTAGGAGCTATGTGCGTTGAAAAAATTAGATAAAGCAGGCACTTGGATATTTTTACAGTGTACGTTATAATTGTGTACCTGTGTTTTGTACCAAAAATAAAAACATTTCAGGTCATTTTAATGTCTTTTCATGCAAGAATGTTGCCTAACAACTGGAGTTTATACAAGGTTGTTTATCTGACGTTGATACAACATCGTTATCTGAGGTTGAGTCAACTTTCAAATCCAATGTTAATGCAACGTATTATCAACGTTATGGTTCAACGTTGTTTCAACGTTAAAACAACATAATTTGCCCGCTGGGTAGTGTTTACTTATGAGCATGTAGACATTATGTAAATGGAATTTAAATAAAATATAATATTGATGGTAAGTAATAGAACGACCTCGAGTCAGCGAGTGTTATGTGACATACACGAGTGCGTAGCTCGAGTGGATGTCACATATATCTGTACATATACCTGTAGCCATTATTTAGACCACGGTCCATGAGCGGGTATAACCCATTCATTCGAGACGTGCAGTTATGCAAGTTACACCGTCTGAGTCTTTTGTTCTTCACTTCCACAGTTGTGTAAGGATTAAGTGCACAAGTAATGCATCCACCTCCGTTTTGTTTTTCACCAGCGTAAGGCAGTTAGTAATCGGTATGGGTGGATTTTGTTGAAATTTTCCTGATACGTCAGAGATGGGTTTCCGTATAAGTTTTTTTTTTTAATTCTGGTGTTAATTTGCAATACAATTTGGCCCCCCTGAATTAAACCTCCACCTCTTTAGATATTCTCTCGCTTCTTCTCTGCACAATTAAATATCATCCGCAAACATCATCGTTCACGGGACATTTTCCATGAGTCATTTCGTCAATCTGAAGCAATATCATTCTTATTAACCAGGTGAGTTCAATGAACGGCTTCGCCGATTGTGTGAAAGTGGTAAGATTCCAGTTTACCGACAGCGAGTAGCTATTGTAGGACCTTACGGTGTAGGAAAGACTCATCTTGCGAAGCGCCTCATCCACGAAGAATATGTCAAAGAAGATGCAAATACAGCTGGCGTGACTATTTACCGCCATAGGTGTATTGTCCATAAAGCTGGCCAATCCTGTTGGATCAGAGGAAAACGTAAGCAGAATATGGAAAACCGTTTGACACATATGAAATTTGTTTATAAAGAATACAAAGAACAGAAGATAAGACATTTCCAATTTTACCGCATAACCCACAATAAGGAATTATACATATGTGTACGTGTGGGTGTCGAAAGGTGCCCTTCCCTATCGTAGTATGGTAGACGAGGGGCTGAGTGAAAAAGTACCTAAATAAATGGTGCCTTTGTGTTGTTATCAATCAGTTGACATACATAACACTTTACAATCTACTCCTACAGCCCATTGATTATTTTTTAACTGGGTACAAACGCGATAATTTCATTCTCTGTAAAAAACACCATGCTTTATTTTACTAAATATTGAATTGAATTTTTCAACTGTGTAGCCTGATACGTACAGTCAGAAAGGGTACATTTAGATACAACGCTAGATCTACCTGTATGATCCTTCCAACTATTCTCAGATGATCCAAAAGACCAGTTTGCACAAAACATGGCAATTGGAGTACAGAATTCAGATACATTTTGCCAGCCGGACTTTACAGTATTGAGCCAAACGCCACAAGAGGAATCCCTACCAGATTCGGAAGAGAATATTAATAACATGCTGACAAATAGAGGTATTGTACATGATTGTCTCGAATAGTTCATCTTGGTATAATTTAAACAGATATTTGCAGTTATTCTTATTCTTCCTGTTGTGCATGACTTAAATTCAGTGTCGATTGACCGTGCTATTACAAATATTATTAATTATTGCATCAAAATGAAAGATTAACCAATTTTCTGCATCTTTATTTATTTATTTATTTATTTATTTTGTCTGTACATTTGACAGATTTGCTGCCTTGTTTTATCTGGGTACAAACACGACAATTTGATTTTCTGTTACAAAACTTCTGAAGATTGAATCAAATTTTTCGATGGTGCAATACGTACCCTCAGAAAATAGTAAATTTAGTTACAACTCTTGGTCTGTGATCCTTCCAACTATTCTCAGATGATCCAAAAGACCAGTATGCACAAAACATAGCAATTGGAGTACAGAATTCAGATACATTTTGCCAGCCGGACTTATCAGTATCGGACCAAACGCCACTAGAGGAATCCCTACCAGATTCGGAAGAGAATATTAATAACATGCTGACAAATAGAGGTATCGTACATGATTGTCTCGAATATTTCATCTTGGTGTAATTTAAACAGATACTTGTAGTTATTTTTCTTTTTTGCCACCTTCTATGTGTTTTTCGTTGGCCATTATACCTTATGTGCCTTGAAGACTGGGCGCTTGATACCAATTATACTTGATCTTATTAGACGCATTTTCAATCCTATTTATTTATTTTTATACAATATTTATACATTATCCCAAAGTTATTTTATATGTTTACATTTTGTAAATAAATTCCTTTATCCTAGCCATGTTTTTGTTTACTTCAAGGTTGAGTCTTTTTCTGCTAGAATGGTATTTTGAATTTATTCTTCTCTTTATTCTACAGCCGCTCCCCCTGATGACAGTGAATCACCTGCCTCTCCTGACAAAACAGCAGGTAAGTAGTGTACATGTAGTAAAACAAGTTTCTCGTGTATTGCTCAGAATGTTCGAGAGTTTTTCTTAGCTTGCTGATTAGGTATGTGAGTTTCTACTTTCTTATTTTCATCTAGCTGTCTGTACAGTAAAATTGACGATACCTTACAATTTTAATTAATTTTAATGAATGTTAAAACATTCAGTTTTTTATACCCCGTTGTGTGTTGGACTTACCTACTTGTATTTATCAGAGAGGATACATTTTTAAGAAAAGAGTTTTTCCCTCAAATTGCCAATAAACCTTCAGAAAAAGACGAAAGCTTGTAATATATCTGATAACTATTTCACAAATTTAATTGACACTAAACGCAATGAAATAATGTGAATAATTACGATACTTTTTATGCTAAAAAGTTTTATTTTAACCGCACTGTTTATTGTACAGTCCCTCTCAAAGGTGAAAGTAGATCTCATACATCTAGGAAAGAAAACATGTAGTCTAGATGATTCGTGCAAAAATTGATTAAAATTTGAAAAAAAGCATGAAACTTGGCACAAATGTTTTTTGGACTATGCTGATCATTTTCAAGGGTAGTGCCCGAAATTTCAAATCATTGCTTAGCAACCGTTGCTAAGGAAGTGATTTACTTTAGTAACAAGCTAATTGGACCTTTCTTGTTCAGTTAAAATGGTTTAAAAGAGTTTCAATAATGCTTTAAGCCATCAGAACTATCACTATACTATTTTAAGCCACCAAAAGCCCAAGTAAACCATTGCGACATTTGCTAGGCAGCATATTTCCCTAACAACAAGCATTTAATAATATATATTTAATAATATATATTTTATAATATATGCTCAGATATGTCTGTAGTAATTTTCATATCCTCCAGTTCCTTCCCGTCCTTTTGTTCCCATTCTACATATACTAACATGTTTCTTAATTATAAAGATAGGTGCATAAATATTGTATGCTTGCACAAAGCCAAATACAAAAATCTTCAAAGATCTATCAATGACCACACCTAAATTATAGCGGGGCAAATGATACACTTTAGCGTCCAAACGTTTTATACATGTGGGCAATCCTGCCCAAAGGCGCACTACCCAATTAAATTACTGCATATTACATAATGCAGCAGCGTAACAAACCTGGTATTCACTTAATTGGAAGCGACACACCTGATTACACACTTCCCCAGTCATATATCTCATATGAGATCTTTTTTTTTTTTTTAAAGAACACATTTCTACCTTGGCATACAATCGAAACTGAAATATTCCATATAAAATGTCAAGTCTGTATAAACTCTCCTTCCACCCCCCTTCCCTCAATACTTAAAAATATGCAAATATTATATTTAATGTTATCAGGAATGGGAAAAGATACAAAATAAAATTAGCAACGATGGCGTCTGATCACTTAAATGGACGGTAAAAGGTACCGCAAATAAAATTTTACCAAGGACCTAAATTTTACATGGCTTTTAAAGACTTCTTTATGAAGAAAATAAGAGTAAGTGGAAAGCGTTTTTTCGGTAAAATGTCAGGAATCGGTAGTAACAAAAGGTGGATTAAAAATACTAAAAGCAACTTCTAATTCCTTTCGGCAAAGATTGGCTTTGGCAAAGCATGGTTTTGTTAAAAAAGTATACATATGTCGGCAACTTTTGCATGGAAAAATTTGAAATTTTGCATGCGAGTGGTCGGTTTTGCAGTGTGTAAAATGAGTTATGCAGTGCTTTACAAATTTTTATGTCTCCTTGATCGAAAAATGTTCAATACGGTGTCAGAAAAAAAAGCATTAAAGTGACAAACACAAGTATGATGTTCGAAATTTGGCCGATACCAGCCGCTTTTATTGTGAATCCTTCTACTAAAATGAAATGAAGTAATTTTAGAAGCTAAAATTGAATAATTGTGACAGTGCCAAATTACGTACCTTTTACTCCTGAAAAGACTTTAATTTCATATATAATTCCCAAACAACATAGTGCAGACGTTTTAATTTGTGTGGTTGCAAAGCTAATAACTATATTTACTTGTCTGTCTTTCTTAATTAGTTGTAGTGCCCTAAGTATATAAGATAAGTGAACCCCAATATTCGAGATGTGTGAAGGGTGGGGGTTGATATGCATTTTTTTTACCTCCGTGGAAATGACAGTGGAACATTGGATTTTAGGGAGTACATGTAATAAATGTGAATTAATGGTATTAAATATGGATATCTTAACCGCTTGTTTGTATTTTCTGTACCACTCATCATGTTAGTTATGGTATCTGGAATGAAAATCACCATTCATAGCACTTGACTCCTGTGATGTGATCATTTATAAATAAAAGCACACGAAACTGGGAGTGGGACAACCTTTTTGACCAATGTTGTATAAGAGTTGTCTTGCGAGATGCCATAACTGAATCAGCACTACAGTGTCATGTCATCAGATACCATGTGCTCACTCTGGTTGGACTTGTGTGGACACATTTGCCAGAAGCTATTGTCCTGCCCAGAGTTGCTGCAGTGTGCACGTAGGAGCAGATGTAGAGGCTGACAATGTGCAAGGGCAAAATGCACTGTATATTGCACATGCAAGGGAGATTGTAACGCCTTAAATATTGCAAAGTTTATAAAGAGTTGTAAGGTGATAAAAACATGGAAATGACTGGTTACTAACTTTGAACACGCTGCCTTAAGTATTTGCAGCGGCAATGTTTTTGATCTGATGTGTGTAAACTTCACACAATTATTTCAACTTACTGGATTAAAAGTATGAATATCTTGCTCAAAATTGTAGTTCCTAACTAGTATTTTAGATTTGCCTTACTTAATAGACTAATGCAACTTTATATGCTTGTTGCAAGGGTAATATGCTGCCTAGCAACTGTGGCTAAGGTTAATTTGGGTTTTAATTGCCTTAAAATAGTCTAGTGATAATTCTGATGCCCTGAAACATTGTTATTAGCAAATCATTTAAACTGGACGAGATAGGTCTAATGAGGTCGCGCGACAAGGTATTTTCAGTTGCACCCTGAATTACGCTCGCTTGCAAGGTGTCGCCTATGGTGGTGGGGCAGCACAGCACATACCTGTATGGTTACTGTGGCGAAGGTGACAGGTACTTCCAAACATTTTTTCATAACTGTCATTATTCCTCATTCTATTCGTAAATTTGATATTTACGGCAATGGAAAATGTGGCACTGGCAAAAGTGGGTCTTGGTGCGTTGACAGGCCGCACAGGTGTCCCAATTAATCGCCGCCAGAGGAGAGTCCCAAGAGGAGAACAACACAACATGTAGATATTGGAAATTTAGCGAAAGTTAAGCAACTGAGGCTCTATTAGATATGGACAGAAATCGAGAGGAATGTAAACCCTTAAGTTCAAGTCTTGGCCCTTATTTGACACCATGCAGTTACGCACCCCTTAGTCAAGAATCTGAACAAATCAATGTTGGGCAGGTATGCTCTATTTTCTACAGGCGTTTTGTGATTTTATCAACTTGATTATCAAGTGCCAGACCCTTTGTTCCCAGATACTACTACTGCTAATAATAATAGGCAAACTTTATCAGGTAGCAATCTGACACTAACCATGCTGCACTAACAGAGCTATAAACCCAGTTATCAATGCTGTCATCTTTACCTGTATCTCTACCGGTATTATGCCAGTGGTACGTTTGATATATTTCAGTGCGAAAATATGCTTTGATGCTTATATTTATTTGTAATACGTTAGCATCCACCTGTTAAAAAAACCTCGGAACCTTTCAATGTTATTACATAATAACAGTATAATGATGGGAAATGTTATAATTAAATGCTTAGTTAGAAGAAATAATAAAAACATATTATGTAAAATATAAAATGAATTGATTTTATTTGGGTTATTTATTCATTTATTTATTTCAAACCAATTAATTATCAAACATGAAGCTTATTTTTAGAAACATTAACAGGTATTACTGCAATGTAACCCTGCTGGTACACAGATCTACAGTTCTAAAATGCAAATACCATGTACCTTTCACAATCACTGATGAGATGTGAATAATCATATGTATAAAGCAGTAAAATATCACAAAATGTGTGTAGGCAAGATATTTCTACAAGTAACCTCATTAATCAGTCAGGAAACTTCATAATGCACTCAATAATTGCAGAAATTTGAGCAAGAGAAATTCTACATACAGGCATGACATGAAATACCATATATTGCCATGAACCCTTAACTGAATGTGCATAGAAAGAACAAAGTGAGTCTCCCTCCCATTAAAAATGAATAAAAATAAATAAATAACTAAATAAACAGATACTGTCATTCTTAATACTGAAAACAATGGCACCTTGCAGCCTTCACTGCCTCACTATTTGCAGACAATGTTCTAGTCACTGTAACTGTGTACTTTTGATGAGGCATAGATGCAAGAATAACTCACTTGAAGTATATTGTGAAGGTCTATTTTGTCAAAAATCTGCCCCATATAACCTGAATGTACATATTGCAATTCACACCGCAGCAGCTTGTCTCAACCAGTTGGAAACTTGTGGCACAGCTTCAGGGACAAGATCACACCAACTACCCTTGCTGTGATGATGGATCTACTAGTACATTATTTATGTCCTGTCCTCCTAGTTTCTCTAATACCATTTCCCCTGATCTATGCTCACATCAATCTCTACAGCTTTACCAACTGCTACACAGTTTTTACATCTGACAGTATAAAGCAAAAATTGTAATAAAGCACTATCAATTTACTTGTTATATATTGATTTGAGGGCAAGAGAAAAAGGCAGAAACCTCATATCATAATCAAGATAATTGAAAATCAAATATGCATAATCAAGTGGCTTTAATTGTACATACTACTGATGATTTAATCTTTTAAACTTCAGCATAAATTTTGACTTTCTCTTGTTTGAGCATAGCCACTTTATCAAAATGTGCTTGAACAAATAATAATAAACATAAACATGATGGAACATGGAGGTCAATTGCCACAAAACTAAGTTGATTTGTACCTGGTAGCTTGAGAAATAATATCAGGTATTAATTTGAGCAGTAATAATACCACAGAGTTAACAACGACACAAGGATATGGTGTTATGTAACAAAATTCATGCATTACTTGCTGTGGCAGTGTCTCCCCAACCTATCGTGCACCGCAGGTTTTGATTTTCAGTGTCATCAATATTTTTGTTAGTTTGACGTATGTATCTGCTATTCAAATAATATCGTTTGAAAAATAACTAACTAATTTAATTATGCTTTTGCAACATGAAATTATCATCAACTTTGCTGGTTCACGTGTACACAGTACTTTGCTATCAGTGCTGCTCTTTTCTCCCCAACTCGCCAATGACAGGCTAACCACATCGTTTCAAAACAACGTTGGTATGCTCCTTTAATTTGGTGTTGGCACTTTCGTCCCGGGGACATAGTCTACGGTTAAAAACAACGTATCGTTTTCACCCATCTTTGCATTGCTCCTGTACAAAATGTCCGCTTGCTGCCCGCCCAATTGAAAAATCGTAGCACGTGGGTAGTTATGCAAGACCTGTGACGTGTAACGCGCGCAAGGTTATTAGCTTGTTAGTAAGAAAATTCACTTCCATAGCAACGGTTGCTAAGCAACGCTTTGAAATTTTGGGCACTGCCCTTGAAAATGATCAGCATAGTTCAAAAAACAATTGTGCCAGATTTTACGCTTTTTCCACATTCTGAGCAATTTGGCCAATATATAGCACCAATCATCCATTCTAATGGGTAGTATAAGAATGTTGACGGTATGTCAATGTATGAACGATCCCTGACAAATTAAATAGATTAGATTGTCTATTAAAATATCTAGTCTTCCTCTCTCCCCCCCCCCTCTCCAGAAGAAAGCACACAAGCTGAAAGCTCGATCGGGCGCTTGATACCAATCGATCTTATTAGACGCATTTTCAATCTAATCTATTAATTTTTATAAAATATACTGCGAGGTTAATATGATGAATATGATGAATATGCACACATTGCAATATATTACAGTATGCATTATGCTAAAATCAGTTGATTCGAACATAGCTTATTGTATTCCTCGCAGTGGCAGAAAGGGACCATCTAGATGATATTGACAAGGAGCTATTGGACAAAATCGAGAAAATTGCCCGAGGAGAACATGTGGAGCCAGAGAAACAGGTCACAATTTGGGATTTTGCAGGTCAGGATGTCTACTACACCACGCACCAAACGTTCCTCTCAGAGCGGATCATCTACTTGTTGGTGTTCCGACTTAACCAGGACCTCGATGATAAAATCCGTGTATACAGGGGAGAGAAGACACTGAAAGGTATTGTTGAGGTTTATGTTTATATCTTTACATGTGTAAGCTACTCAGGGCCCTCATGTAAATATTAGTAATGGCCTGTCAGCTGTGTGTAATTTCTTTATTAAAAGACCCACATTTTTACATCTCTATATTGCTCTTAATATATTGCTATAGGCATATATATATATATATATATAATAACATTGAGTTTTTAGTAGTGTTAATTTTAAATGGTTCCGATGAGTGTTTTAGATTTTAATATTGTAGTAATTTTAACGATTTTAGTTATATTATCCATTGTAAGGCGCCCAATAAGAAACACTATTATTATTATATTAATGGGCGCTATTTTTTAGCAATGCTGAGGAGAAAACACCGATTAATATTCATCTTTGCAATTACCTCAAGGCTTTATATACATTTTTCAGAGTTTATTATGTTTTGGTTAAACTCAATCCATATGCACACTATTGGAAAATTGAGGGAAGAAGACAAAAATGTCATGCCATACGTCTTGATTATTGGAACTCATAAGGACATGTTATGCCCACAGGTGAAAACGCTTTTCTCATCACAATTATTCAATTACTACCGTACTTATTCTATGTATGATTTGTATCCCTTCAACCATATCACGATTTCTGACGAGTAACGTAATTATTTAGAAACTTTTCACTATGTGACTATTTGTGGATGGCAAGATATAATGTTGGGGGAAAAGGGTGTTCCTTGCCCCCTGTACTCCATCCTAATTATATAGGTTCCTTGCAACATACCCCATTTCTCAACTTGAACGAAGTGGACTATATCATATACACACATACACATACACACACCCCGGTAAATGTTTTCTTTTGCACTGACAATTTAACATTATTATATGGTAGTGAACAACAACTACAAAAATGTCTTAACTAGTTTTTATTCATAGGGCGACGTTGAAAAGATTTTTGATAAACTCAAGAAGTGTCTCGACGACAAGCAGGTACTCAAGGACCACGTCTACCGATGTTTTGCCATAAGCAACTTGGCCGAAGATGATGAGGAGTTTGCTGAAATAAAAAGAGCGATCGAAGATTTGTGCGGTTACAGCAGCGAAAGTGAGGCTACCGTTCAACATCTTCCAGTGAGTTGGATTAAATTGGAAATGAATTTGGCAGAGAAGAGTGAAGAAACCCCCATCATAACTATTGAAAAACTGAGGGAAATGGCGCAAAGGGTAGGACTCCCTGATGGAGAATTACAAGAAAAATTCATTCCTTACCATCACCGTCAAGGAGACATCCTACACTTCAAAGTTGATGGACTGGAAAATGTCGTCATAATAGATCCACTTTGGTTAGCAGATGTGTTTTCTGCCATCATGACCCCGGCCAGCATTCACTCTGTGCATTCACACAGTCGCGGCCATTTCCTGAAAGATGAGCTTAAAAGAGGAGTCCTAAAGGAGGAGGTATTTGATGAGTATCTAAAAGAATTCAAGACGGCCGAAAAAAAGACTGAAATCATTCGACTTATGCTGCATTTCGACTTGATGTTAGAAATATCCCAATCAGTTGAAAACCCTCTGCCCTGGTCTGGAAAGAGAAGATTCGTTGTGCCCAGTATGCTGGTATCCAATAACAGTGCAAATAACGCCTTGTCTGAGACGGATCCACAGAAATATTTGCTTATCGCATTCCCTCACATTCTGTTTCCAACCGGGTTGTTTCATCGTCTGATCGTCCGTCTTCTTAGGAAGTATAGAGCTCAGGACTATGAACATAACATTCCAGTTGTTGGGTTTGACCACGCCTCCTTCCGTATGGTTGACAAACAGTCGGTGCTCCATCTTGCCATTGAAGAAAAGGCCATGAGAATGATGATAACAAACGCTACTGGAAACAAAACAAAACCTCACATATACTTGAACGCACGGAAAACCGTCGACGAAGAGCTGTCAACTCTTAGGAAGACGTACTGTCCCAGGACGCAGTTTGAATTCCGCATTAGGGTAAATAACAATGGAAAAGATATTGCAATAAAAGCAGAGGACGTCCAGGAAAACGATCAGATCTGTTGTTTTGTAGAGGGCTCTGAAATAGCAATTGATATGACACCGTATCGCATTTGGTTTTCAGGTAAGCATTAAAATTTTACGTAGTTTTGCTGTGAACAGACATAGTCGCTATATAATTAGGGGTGATATAATCATTGATATCGGCGATACTTAAACTGATGTAAATGCAACTAATAATCTTGGAATATGTACTCAGATGTAGGGGAAGGGAATTTATAATTCAAAATTTTGCCAAGAAACCAATCTAAATGCCACCACATATATACTGAAATAATATAACTAATATAATCCCTGAAAAATGATATTTTACACATCTCATCAGTATTTTTCTGTACTTTATAACCATTGATAAATTTCCCCTATCGACTTCGTTAGAACAATATAAATATCGCCAACAAAACATGCAATTTATATTTTAATCATTCCAACAATACGAGTTTTACATGGGCATCATAGTCTGGGTGAAGGTAAGACTATTACCGTTCTGTGTGCCGGAAATTTTTCATATAACTGTCGCATATTAGATTTATTACCCAGCCGTGCACAGCGCTATAATTTATTAACTTTTAATTTAAAAACAACTGCCCAAAAATATTTGGAAAGCATTTACATGCTATGTTAAAAATAAATATCATGCCCTGGTCATATTTTGACAATTTACCTGCGGCGCGGCAGGTATATGTACAGCGGGTTACCTTTTGCTCACAACACATACCCATTGATAATTTTCTTCATACTTAAATTTCATGTATATTATTAATTGCTAATTATGGTTCATCATGCGCATATTCTTGTAATCCGTCTTATTCTTACAGATAGTGCACAGGCAGTACAAACAAGTGAACCAGGTAATTTTGTATTTGGTAGTGCTTAGCTTAGGCTAAGAAGTACGCGCATTATTCTTATTTTTACTTCTATTTTTTTCTTTTAGCTTACAAATCTTCAATATAAAGAAATAACATATTGTTACTAGCATGCACCCCTGTTCATATGACAGCACATTTCACTGACTACATATTTCTCCCATAATGCAGTGGTGGTTGCCGTATATTTTACACACACACACACACACGCACACACACACACACACGCACGCATTAGTATACTACTCTCTCTCTCTTTACCTAAAAATTTTTTGTACAAAGAGCATTGATCATTATCATATGTTTCTATTAGTAGGTGCGAATGCCCCAGATGCGTCATTTATTGATGCACAGAAGTTTGCAAGGCTGTGTTATCTCGTTATTGAACTTGGAACGAAAGTCATTAGAACTTTCTTCCTCAAGGATGTTGTTAGGCCTAGCATCACTAATGGTGAGCACATCAGTGATAAAGATGCAGTGCTTCAGTTTTTTGGTAAGCATGACGTGAAAAAGGAACTCAAGAAAACAAAGGTCATATATGCTTCTCAGTGGAATCTGTTGTACCCTGCCTCTGGTCATACAGATGTGGAAACGTTTGACATTACATTGCTGGTGTTATTGATAAGAAGTCTTCACCCAGACAAAGACAACCTGAAATGGCCAGCGTACCCAAAAAACGTCAAGTTACCTTCCCCTCCACAAACAACACAAGGTTTCATCGACCACATCCAGCGACTTAAGAATGTCAGGAATTATGTACAGCATTCCGCCAAGTATGGGATCCAAGACATGGAGAAATTCCGCACAAATTGGGAAATCGCCTGTGCTTCTGTTCTAGCACTTGGTGCAGATCCAAATGAAGTGGAAAAGGTACAGAAATCCATCTTTAGCATACAGGAGATAGATACAATAGTGTGTGAAATACGCAACTCGGCCGAAGATAACAAACGGCATTTCGACAGCAGATTTGACAGACTTGAATCACTAATATTTTTCATATGTGCCGTTCTCTGTGCCGTCCTCAGTGCTTTTGCCATAAATTACCAGTGGTGGATTTAGGTGGGGGTGGGGGGGGGGGGGGGGCAGAGGGATCCTGATTTCTGAAAAAAATCACACTAGTATTCCCCACTTGAAATTAGAATTTTGACTAGCTGAATTATAGTTCTAATTAAAGTATCAAAGATTTTTGGGGCCTTAAGCGGGCCTTCGAATCCCATGCCAGGGTGGGGTGGCTTGGCATATGCGCCCCTTCCCCTTCAAATAACCCTGTATCCGCTTCTGAATTACCGTGAGTGACAGGGTGAGTTGAGGTCCTTCTTTAGTTGTACGTGGCATATGTGGATGGTCCAACGTCAGATTGAACCTTCGAATTTTCACCCAGTAATATTTAACACAATTCAAGCCTAGATTACATTTACACGGGCGCCGTGCGATGAAATTGTGTGCACGATTTTTTTATGTCATGAGGAGCTAGGGCTACGCCGATTACGTCTACAATTAAATGGCCTAAAATTAGTACGAGTTTGCACGGTCATCGTCTACCTCCGCTCAGACGCCGTACGAAAAGTGTATTTCGGGCAGTATACGTGCACCGCACGGACATCGCATTTCAAATGTAATATATGCTTAAAATGGTTTAAAAAATCATGGTATTAAGTGGAATTGTGAAAAGAAAAACCATGTAAGTAGCAAGATGTGAGTATAAAAATTGATACGTCCATTTTATAGCTAAATTTATTTAATCATAGTCATTCAAACTAACAGTTTTGAGGATATATTATGTTAAGTCTTTTCCAGTACTATGGAATGCATCTCTTGATACTAATGGCAGATCACTTAAGCCTCGGTCAGAACCGTAGCACGGGCTCTCAGGGCCTGTTTGCGTCCAAATTTTACGCAGAATCTCATGTCCCATGCAGGTCCTTCTTACAAAAATTCGAGTTCGCAGACAGCCCGTAGGCAAGCATGGAGGATGTTGGACATGTACAAAAGATTCTACGAATAGCCTGCGAACAGCAAGGCCGCAACCTAACTCGCTCCCCTCGCACGGACTTAGCAAGTGAGACGTGCGTTGTGCAAAACGCACGTCGCAAGCAATGAAGAAGCAATTGCCCTTTGCGTGTTGAGTAAGGCGCACGTCCTCACAACTAACGAACAGAGTCGAGAGCAAACCTGAGAGCATCACCCCCACGCCTGGTGTATAAAAGGCGTGCTCACTACGCAAGCTCGTGTCTTAACAATGAACGTCGACTGTGTAACGTGCACAACAATTTTCAAAATTTTCAAACTTTTGCTCAATTTAGTTTCTAATATGCCTCCAAAAAGCAAGAGAAAGAAGCTTAAATAGTAGAAAAAAGGGAGAGGGAAGACGAAAGAAGGGGAAAACAGGAAGCAAAACTGACGCACGCCATCAATACGTCATCATAAACTTGTGAGGCAAGTGTGAATAGAAGCAAAACTGACTTAAAAGGCCACTACTTTTGCTTTGCGTTGCATTCCCTTCGTGTGGTGAGTGTGTGCCACGTACGCAGGAAGCAACACAAACTCAAGGAATGAGAGCAATTTTTCACGGTCATCGCTCCTTGCAATTAGCGTCACTGCTTGAAAGGACAACTCATGAAAGGACAACTCAAGGCAAACTTTCCTCTACCTCTACGAACTCCACGGCCTACGCTGCACCCAAAATTCGTAGGGGATGTACGATCCTAAAATTCGTGCGTCCGGTTGTGACCGAGGCTTTAGATGAAAGGAAATTTAGAAAAAAAGTTCTATTACTATTATAATTATATGCAGACACTAATAGTAATATATATTCTGAGCGCTCTGTCTGCCGTGACTGTCGCTGTCCAACACATGAAATTCGCCCCAAAACTGCCAAACCATAGTTTTGTTTTACTTTAAAATCTACTCAGTTGCTTAGTTTGGTAAAGAGGCCGGTTGCTTTTGAAAATCAGCATGATAGGTTTACATTTACGGTGATAATTCTTTTTTTTTTTTTTTTGAAATCCTGTAGTGCATTTTGTAAGAGGATAAGTGATTACGCTATTATGTAACAGTGCATCAATATTGGCCAAAACATTATTTTGTGCACTTTTTTCTGCAGAATGTCTGGATATTTCACAGCTTTGCTGCCTTGTTTCTTGGTGTCTGTATATTTGCAAGCTTTGTCTAGTTTTTAATTGAAATGTTGGAATAGAAGTTACAGTAAAATGACTGGATATTAGGTAAGATTTTTCAAAATATTTACCAGATTACACATAATAATGATAATCTTAAAAACTTCAAGTCTAAGATTTCATTCTAGATTTTTATCATGTCTGTTAAAAAGTTTTGAAGTGCAAAACTTGTGTGCAAAAAAGTGGAGGTTATGTCAATATAGCATTTTAATATAATCGTCCACCCTTCAACTATTATAGTAGTACTTAATTTACAACATATTGATTACTCATTATATATATCCACAAACTGGTTTGGAAAGCTTACAAATTTAAGTAAATATTGCAATTTTCATGTAACTTTTGAAGTTTTATGAGGGTGCCTGCCAAATGTGGGTCGAGCAATATTTAACTCAAAAATTAGCTTTTAAGCTACAATAATCATAGAAGGTAGCCATTTTGATGGAGCATTGTGTTGTTTTTGTTGTTGCACATATTGACTGAATCGTTTGGGAACCAACCGTGTGCTACAGTGATTGTGTAAAAAATATTATTACTTACAACGTGTAACAGTGATTTCTGTATTTTTTATCTACAAATTACAGTACATTCAGTGAATGGGACTCTATACCAAACAGTTTGTCACCTCATGTTTGTAAAAGTTGCACACTGTTGGGAAATTTAAGAATGAAAAGAAAAGTTTTATTCAAGTTTCTTTTACTTCATATTGTATCAACTGAATATTTAACATGGACATATTACCAATGAAAGACAGTTTCAAAGTCAGCCATATGAATGTAATAACTTGCATTAATATATTATCAATAATTTCACTGTAATAAATCTAGGAAAGTTGACAACTTTTTTCCATGCTGTCTATGACCAACCTCTTCCTAGGGCATGAACACAGAGGGCCATGGAATAAATACTACAACAGCATGCTTATAAGCCATCACAATGTTCCAATAGTATTCAATGAATATAAGATAAAGTACACAAAGGAGTAGGGCTTATAATTGTAGATTAAATACATCTCCACATAGAAATGTTACAAAATGCTGGTTATCAAGTACAGTTTCTTCAAAATTGCAGAAAACATTCTACTTTTTCATTTTATACTTTTTGCACTTAAACAACAAGCTTTATTTTGCAAAACTGGTTATAAATTATGAATATACATTCATCTGGATAAAAATGGCTCCTTTATCAAATCTACCATTCCACTGTTCTGCATTCATGGGTGCAAGCATTTGACACTGTGACAGTAACTCCACTTTTCAATAACCAGTTGTTCAATTTTTCCATTCAGCTGATAAAATAAATTTACATAAAGAAGCATGACAATATAATCTGTAAAGCAACAAAATTCCAATGAGAGGCATTAGACTCTTCATCAAAATTTTACAGAAATATTTCCACAGGTAAAGCACTAAAATGTAAAATTCTTTTAAATAATTCAAACGTGCATTTAAAAAAAATTACAATTAAAATTGATACCTCTTCAGGTGTCAGAAAAATTCACTGATAAAATAAAAAAACTGAGGATGAAAATACTGATGAACTAGAAGATACCAACTTCTCTCCACAGTCAACAAGATACATCAACTCTCATAACAATACACTGGACATGTCTTCTAAACAATCAGAACGGTTGCCTAGGCTGGAAAGTATGTATGTACTGCCTCAGTCCTGCAGAAACAAAAACTTGACTAAAACATTCTGAGATTTGGTATACTTTCCCAAATTATCTTTCAACTGTTAAGGGAATTGCTATTTCCATATCTCTCTTGTTCAGTGAAATAAAAGAACATGTCATCTCATTGGAAGCTGTGGATCTTCTAAATGGTCTCCACTGGTCGCTGTACTGTGGCCTGTGAAAAGAATACCACAATATAGTCACAGAATGCTCGGCCACTCAATTGGCTTGTACTGGTAACATTGAATCTACTTTATCTTAAGAACAGTAACATTAATTGCAAACTTTAAACATAATCATGGTTGCCGTAATTATACTTTCATTTGCATTGGGTGTACAAGAAGAGACCTATTTTACCAATGTGACAAGTATCTCAAACAGTGCAGTGCAAGTTGTACTATACTTCAGGAATTTCTAACCAAAATTCCTGTACATTACTCCCTCCCAAAGGATTTAGAATTACATAGTATCTTAAGTCTAAAATCTGAGTGGCCATACACCCACCACACAGAGTTAAATATATATTATAATTATAACTGATTCTTCCTACACCCACCACACAGAGTAAAATATATATTATAATTATAACTGATTCTTCCAACCAGCTTTCTGAATGAAGTCCCCCATCCCCCTCCTCAAGAGTTAGGAGTTATGATAAACTCTCACCCTTTCTTGATGAGCCCCCCTCCCCCCCTCTCCCATTTCAAAGGGCCATGCACCCATCCATGGTTTAAGATAATAACATACTTTCTGATTGACATCTACCCCCCTTTAGATTTCGGATGAGCCCCCCACCCCTCACCTACTTCAACTGTTTTCACTGAATCTTAAAAAATGTTCAAATGGTTAACCCAGTGGGCCTTATGTCTGTGCATAAAATGCATCTTTACACAAAAATATTACTGAAACAATAAATGAAGGCAAAAATCAAAGGTTTCAGATAATAATTGATACTTCCAACACACTTTTTGATTGACATCTACCCCCCTTTTAGGTTAAGAAACTATATTATACTTATAATCATCATTCCAGATGACCCCCCCCCCCTTTCCCATGGACTAGTTAACAATTACTTACACTCCACTTCAGAGGCTGGTCATCAGCTTTAAGAATACACTGGACATGAGTGAAGATGGTCACTTTCTGGGTGACCTCCCTGTGGTGGTCATTATCTGGTGCCCACACCAGGGTCAGCTCAGGACATTTACGGACCTTCTGGTAGGAGAAACTGCTCAGGGGAAGTTTCTGGAAACACGAAGCAATGGTCTTTATCATATAAAAAGATGTACACTATTGAAAAACAGCAATGAAACTGTTCAAAAGAAGAATTACATTACAATTATATATATATAATTTAAAGTGACTGAAAAAGTAAGTGAAGGAAAGCACATTGACCAAGGGCAGATCGAGAGACAATTTCTGAGTCTTCCAAATTATCTTTGATCCATCCTCCATTTTTGATCATCTTCTGAAAGAAAAAATTAGATCACCATCAATGTTAACTTGAAAAATTATGACTATCTACCAGAATACACCTTCCATCTTCCCCTACAGACAAGCATAGATAAAGTGTACACTTTGGTACTTACATCACAGTACACTCTCTTCACCACTCCCAGCTTTAGCACCAAAACGTCAAAACCCTTGTCCAGGACCCCCATCACCATCCCTTGTTCCTCAAGTGGACCACATTCCTGGAAAAAACTAGAGGATCAGAGAGGCGATACCGCCTCCGAATATTGTACCACCAGCTGGAGCAAGCGCATTCGTATAGACCCCCCACATATACAAAATAAGGAACACAGCCACCAGTCTTGTGCTTGACAAGCTGTAAAAATGCAATCAACAAGAATTTTCAAAATATGCAAAAAATATATATATAACTAAAAATGGTACAATCAAAGTTAAGTTCATTGTAAGGTAGGTCAAAGGTCAATTCCAAGGTCACAGTTAATTGCCAGTATATGACTTCCTATTCAAGTTCAATAGTAACTATGGGCCTATCTCTGCCAGGTTTGGAGTTAAAAGAGAAAGAAATTAGCAGAGTTCAGTTCATGATAATAAGTAGGTCAAAGGTCAATTTCAAGGTCACACTTAGATTGCCAGTATATGACTTCCTATTCACGTTCAATAGTAACTATGGACCTATCTCTGCCAGTTTTGGAGATAAAGGGGAAGCAAAATATGCAAAGTTCAGTTCATGGTGAAAAGTAGGT